TGATTTGGAAGAAAATCTTTTTTCCTGTGATTCTCTGCTAATAAAATCACTTCAGCAATGATGTTGAAGAGCTGAGTATCACTTTTAACATTTGAAACAAATTGGTTCTAACTTGAATACCTGCCAGAAACCCAAGAACTATTTACAAGAGCTCTGTTTTCTGGAGCAAAGAAGTAGCCAGGATGCATTCAGCTAGTGTCTTCTCTTTTCAGCTTGGTGGCAATTCCTGTATATGTGAAACACATGATCAGTTTTAAGGAAAATAGTTCTTCAGGAAGGTTTGATGTTACCATTGGACCGAAACAGAACATGGGGAAGACAGTAGAAGGAGTTGTCATGACAGTTCACATGCCAAAGGCTGTACTTAATATGAACCTCACTGCTACACAAGGCAGCTATATATTTGACCCAGTTACTAAAGTAAGTCTTAAGTTTTTATTTATTTAAATACTCAAGATGACATTAGAACAAGTCGTTCATATTGCCGAGCACTGGAACAGTGTTCTACACTTAGCAGAAAACTTTCACTGCAGTGTATGTTTATGAATTAAAATCTTCTCTTTAAAATTTCATTTTTCAAACTTAGAAACGCACCAGTTGTGATTTCTGGTTTTATCAGTCCCCTCTCTCCTCCCTTCCCCTCTGCCTTTCCTTCCTCTCTTTTCCCCTGCTCCTTCACCCCCCTAATAGTTTTCTTTAGTGAATACAGCAGTATTTTGCTGGTGGTTTCAGCTATGGTACATTTTGCAATCTATGTTCTTTAAAACGTACTTATCTGGAGAAAATGCAGTAGACTTGAAAACAGGTAGCCAGAAAAACAGGGAGCAGAAGATGAGGAAAAAACCATCTTCCAAAAGATCTGCCTGAAGGAAGGAAAACAGAGAGTCTGAAAAACTGCATCTTGGGAGTCCTGCCTTCTTGCCTCTGGGTTGGGGTTTGAGACGTAAATTTCCTAAAGCTCCTGAAGCTCTGTAGTACCCAGGAACCATTCCGCTGAAATGCAGTCTGAGCCAAACCATTCTGCTGGCTCTAACACCCAGCTCCAGCTTTCTGCTGCCCTTGGAATATCTCAGTCAGCAATTGATCTGAATCGTAAGTGAAAGCTCTCCAAGTAACGTTTTGTTTCAAAAAGAACAGACCTTGATTTTTTAAAACAAAACCACCAACAAAACCACTTGAAGTCTCCTTTCCTCTCTGCAGAAATAAATTATGCTGTGTTTTTGTCAGGAGTTGGGACAACTAGGTGAATTGTAACTGCAAAAGTTTGTAAAGTAGGGAAAAAGTAGGTTTTTCTGCATTTATCAACAGTTTTCAGTTTATGATAAGAAAAACAAAAAAACCTCTTGCGGGTGAGTAAAGGGCCAGCTTTGTTCCATGTATCTTCTTGAAGTGTGAGAATCAATGGGAAGCAAGTGACCTTTAGGAAAGTTACTCTGGCTGAAACATCTCCTTTTGCCAAGTGCCTTGCTCCTGTCCTCCTCGTTCTCATGTTTAAGTTCCTATGACCTTTGTGCCGGTTTCTCTCCTTGCTTCCTGGATCTAGCTGGCCAATGTGACAACAGGAACAATCACCGTTACTGAGGGAACAAGATGTATTAAGTGCACAGACCAACCAAGGAAAGCTGAGAGGGCAAATGAAGTGCTGGGAAAGAAAAGGGCATCCTCCATACCTGCAGGAGCCCTAACCCTGCTATCTCCCAGCCCGTGGGCTAGTTGTCAGGGCTACCAGGCTGCTTTTTGTAGCCAGCCTGCAAACTAAAAGCTTGACATGAACTTGACCTTATAGAGTGTTTCCTAGAAAGCTACTGCTACTATTCTCTCTTTCCTGGCAAGGTGTTAACGTGGGACGTTGGCAAAATTACCCCTCAAAAGCTACCAAACCTGAAGGGCATCGTGAACCTGCAGTCTGGAGCCCCTAAGCCAGAGGAGAATCCAAGTTTGAACATCCAGTTTAAGATACAACAGCTTGCAATTTCAGGTGAGTGGGTGACTGTTACGTGAAATTGGTACTGGTGGAATGAGTAGCAGTAGGAAATGAAGTGGGAAACTGTTAGTCTTTTCACTGGAGATGCTGATCTGAAGTCAGCTTGGTCCAAAACCAGTAAAGTCTGATTTACCCAAACCTGACAGTTACCCTTGCTGGAAGACTCCCTTGCTGGGAATTGTGACTTCCCAATTGTTTTGCTCAAGAAAGACTGTGGGAAGTCTACAGAAGAATGGATTTTTCTTTGTTGACTTGTGCATTAAACATGCAAATTATACTTTTAGCAAAGAGTGATGGATGATGATTTAGCATGCTGCTCTTGACTTGCTTTACCCTTGTACCACTAAAGCCATTTCTAGTGGTCAAAAAACTCCATTAATTTTAAAGAATGCCCTTCTTATTCTTTCCTTCTGGAGCTGCTTAGTTTTTCATCTTCAAAACAACCTGCAGGTAAAATCAGAATGAAGTCTCTAGGGTAAGTGCAAAAGTAAGTTCAAAGCAAACAAGGCCTCGGTCTGCAAACATCTAAATGACATGCGTTGTCCGTGTATACAAGGCTTCTGCCAGCAAGCTTTGCAGGATTAAGGCCCTAACAGAGCGAAGACTCACATTTGGAAAGGAAGAGGGTGACTGAAGGCAGTAGATGAGAACTGGTGGTAGTGCACATCACGCCTTTCTAGGTAGGTACCAGGCTGTGGTCTGTTTGCTTTCTAGGCTACTTTGCTCAGTAAGTAACAGTAAGTTCTTGTGTAGGAACAGAGCCCTGCAGTTTCCTCTTCAACTTGCAGCCCATGGCTTTAAATCTAGCAAAATGGAGTGGATCCAATGGCTGGATGCCAGAGATAATGGGCCTGCGAGAAAGCAGGGGGCAGCCTGAAACTATTAGGTAATTAACAGCTACTGGTGTTCCTCAGTTACTAGCGGAGGGATTGCTGGTCCTTGCAATCAGGATCTAGAGTGAATTCTAAAACTTGTCCTTTGCTTCATCTACACTATTGGGAACGAGGGCAGCGTACAGGAGCTGCGCAAGACAGGCTCATTTGGTCAACAGTCCATCCCTTGGAAGGAGGATGTTGGCTCGCTGAGTAGGACAGGAAAAAGTTGTTGCCCTGCCAGGGCAGCTATGATTAGGTGACAAGAACAGCCACTTCCCCTATTTCAAAGGGGATGAACTTGTGAAAGGAAGGAAAACCAGCTTCCTAACCTATCTTAACACGCTTCAAGAAAGCAGGACTTTGAAACAGACTGACGTAATTGCTAGCATTCTGCTTTTAACTTTGTATGTGTTTTTGTATTTTTCAGGACTGAAAGTGAATCGCCTAGACATGTATGGAGAAAAATACAAGCCTTTTAAGGGTGTCAAATATATTACAAAAGCAGGAAAATTCCAAGTCAGGACATGAGAAGATGCTCTACTTCCAAGAGGAAATTCCCCTTAAAAAAAAATTGACTGCTTAGTGACTTATGTTGCTGTTCATTAGGTGCCAATTAATTAATAGACACTGATTAGTTTGGGATCAAAGCATTTGTGCACAGAAGCCCTTGAAATGAAAGCATAGTTTAGTTTTTCTTAATATTGCTTTAAAATAAGATACTTTTTTTCTAATACACCTTCACTCTTTTTTTACTGAATTATTGTGCTGGTGACTAGTTTGATACAGGTGATCCACAAAACGTCACAAACACTACACTGCCAGTCAGATACCAAAGCCCAGAGGCCAAGCACATTATAAAGGCCAGACAGGCCGCTGGAAAAGTCTTGTGGTAGCACGTTTTGCTGCTGCAGCTGCCTGCAAAGAAAGCTGAGCTATTCTCATGGCCAGCTGCAAGCTGGCATTCCACAAAGCATCATGTAATCCCTTCAGAAATAGAGAGCAGCAGTGAGAGGGGCAGGGGTCCCACAGCAGCCTGGGACATAGCAAGCGTTGCTCCTGAGAAAGAGCTTATGATGAAGACAAAAATAATTCCCTTGTTGTTTACAAGAAATTGCCTTTCTTAAGAAGCATTTGCCTTAATCAGCTTTCATTTGTGCCATCTGCAGATGAGCTGATAAAAATAACATTCTGCATTGAATCTGGGAGGTGATTGTTGCTTCAGTAATCCACTTTCTTTCCATTCCATCTCATCATCGCCATCACTTTTTTAAAGAATACAGTTGCAGAGAGTAAGATCTATTTTTTATGTGAAGCCTTTGCTTTGATTTAGATGTTCCACGTGTTCAAAGTGGATGCCACAGATTTGTGCCATGCGTACATTGGAGTGTAGCTTTTTAGATAGCACAGTAGAAATGTCAAGTGTATTTAATGGTTGTGTGCTTTAATGTTATGAAATAAAGGGAACTCTACTGCAAATTCATCTTCTCCTGTGAAATGTTCACACTATTGTAAACTATTCCTGGTGCTCTTAGGTAGGAGACATCTGGTATACAATGAAACGATGACTATTTGCTACATCTGCCCTGGACTTGATCACTGTGCAGCTATTTAAAGTTTAGGAAGGGCATTTAGGAGCACGGGAGATAAGGTTCCTTGCATATTTTTTAATTTAAATAGAGAACAATTAATGTTTAGATTATGATATTTCAAAGACCTAGCAGCGACGATGCAAAGCTGACTCTGCTTTTCCTTATACATCAGCACAAACTTGTTGTCTCTGTAAACCTACACATGCTCCACAGCACCGGTCGGGTTTCAAACCACACATTTGGTCAGTACATAGTAGGCTGAGGAACCCAAGGGCAGGCTTAAGGAAGAGTGGGATACTGCAGCAGCTTTGTTTCCCAAACCCGTTTGGCTTAAAAATTGACGAACAGGTGCTAACTTTGCTTCAGATGAAGAACAGGAACTAAAGTTATTCAGTAGTCAAACTTTCAAATACTGGGACAAAAAATGATCCAGTCGAAAAAAGGAGGGGAAAGCCATCTGAACGCTGGCAGCAAGCCAGCAAGAAAAGAAACGAGCACATATTCTCTATTGGTAACTTTCAGATATCACTAGGGTAAAAACTTGGCCACAGACAACCATTTTGAATTGCTGAAATTACAGTAGCATAGATAAAACATCACTTTTAAGAAGCAGCACCTATAAGAAAGCCTTGCATTTGTGTAGGCACAACACTGGGTATTAAAAGCTACCAACCTTCTAGTCTAGTTTTCCAGCCGGAGAAACCTCCATCGATTCATTACTCATCCTACAGTTCCGCTCCATCTTTCAGCAGATGGCAGTTTTGCTGGAAGTCTTGTCTTCAAATGTAACTGATCATGTCCCAGGCTTAGCTCTGAGTGGCTAGAGCTGCTCTCTGCTTTAGCAGCTGGGAAATACTTCAAGATCTCCTGTCAGAACCGATGCCGGCACATAATGTAACATCAGAGCCAGCCGGCCTTCACATTAACGCTTCCCCCCCTTCAGCGGGCAAGCCTTGCCAGCCTTCTGTAACAGGGCACCAGGGCAGCAAGCACAAAGCTTCTGCCTCTGGATAAGGTTTGAGCCGTACTTCTCAGCACAGCACCAGGAGTCACCGTCCACAAGAACTGCACTCACCTGGTAGAAAACCACCCTGAGCATGAAGATGGGTTTCCTCAGGGAAGCGGTGTTTGGTGTGAGGCTTGCACCTTCTGCTGTAGGTGCGCTGGCTCCTGCCATTTCTCCAAACACAGGAGACTCGACTGCAGAATCTGCAGAAGGGGACTGTTTCTCTCTCGGATATGGAAAGAATGGTGTGAACAGTATGAAATCTGAGTTTTACCTCTTATTACTAAACCCCAGATGCCTTCTGGTACTGTGGGACTATGTTCAGTCCTACAGCACCAGTAAATGTTGGTTCCACAAAGTCAGAACATTATGTGTATTGGTAGAAATTTTTTAGTGAGAAAGTGTTTATAAGAGGTTCTCACTGCGAGGGAATAAAGGAAACAGGACAGTGGTTCCATGCTAATCGCCCTCGCATTCAATTTGTGAAGTAAAATTCAGATTAACGAGGTGTTGGCAGACTAGCAGTTCTTCCCTTATTGACAGGATCAGGCAAATCCCATTTTAAGTTTTCAGGACCTTGTTCGGTGCTACTAGAACCATGACCACCAGGCCTCTGGAAAAACTCCTGATTTTTCCCTCTGGACCACAACTTCCAGTAAGTTCTGTAATGACTAGTTTTACAGGCAAAAAGACAGAAACAACTTGTTTTAAGCTTTGAGAAACCTTGCACTTTTCTCTGTTCAGAATATGTAGAAGCGACTGTTCTTTTGCTTTAGCATTTCATTTCTGCTGCCTTTGCTTTTTGCTCTTGTTGTTACGGCATTACCCACTGCTCCGCTATCATTAATACTCACAAGCTGACATTTGTACAAATGCATTTTTATTGTTTTAACAGAACAAAAGAAAGGTTGAAAACATTAGACTATACAATACATTTTGGTTTATAAACAAAGTTTTATAGTGGTAAAACATTTCTGTAAGTGACATTCATGGTCTTTTTCAAATTTTTGCTGCATTTCAGGTCTGAAGACCAATAGTGTTCAAAAAAGCAGTAATTGCATAAGGTGGACAAGTATCTTAGCTTCTACAAAACAGTTCAAGAACTTACAGTAAACATTCTGGAAGAATATCAAAGGCAACCATGATTCATAACTTTCCTGCAAACATTCCTCAATAAACAAAAAGTGATCTTTGGCATAAACAATTACATATTAAAGGCATTAGTAATATTGCATTAATATCAGTCAAGCAACTAAACAGTGATGCTAAAATAAAAAAATCATCTCACAGAGAAGCCTGAATGGGTTGAGGGGGGAGGAAATGTGAGGAGCATTGGAAAGTAATACAGGAAGACTAGAAAATCCCTTAAAAATAACCCCCACCTATTCAGTGTTATTTACTGTTAAATAGAAGTTACTACATTACAATTACGTTAAAGATCTGGTATAAACCAACCAAACGCAAGACATTCAGGTTAAGGCTCTGGCACCCCTTCCTCTTCCTGTTGCAGGGAGTTACAGGAAGAGAACACCAAGGAAAGACCCCAAGTACCATGCGTTTCCTAATACCCCAGCAGAGGGAGGGTATCCAAGACAACCCACGCTCTCTCGTGCTCAGGCTGGTTGAGGCAGATGCATCACAATCCGTCCCGCTTCCCTTTTCAGATCGCAGTGCAACAAGGGTGGGGGCGGAGAGGAGAAAGTCCAGGCGGAGAGTGACTGTTGCAGACAGGTAAGGCGAGCTGGCTGCGTTGGGTGTCTCTTCCTTTGAGCTGTTAAGACTGAGCAGTTTTTCCACAAGGGCACTTCTTCTAAAGGTGGTTTGATCACACAACAATTTTTAGTAAATTGAGAGGGCATCATGAGGTCAGTGCTGATCTGGGCAGAAGTCTGCAAGTGTTCCTTGCAAATGTACAGAGATTCATTCTAAAACAACAATCCTCCTTTCTGTCCAATGCCAAAAGAGACTATGAAGCGATTAAATAAATATATGTGTGTGTGTGTGTGTATATATATATATATATATATGAAGGCATGTTCAATTATGGAAGGAGAAAAGCATCCCAAGTCTATTTTGGTAACAGAGAGGGGGCAGTTCTGTGGGTTTTTATTGTGGTTTTGTTGGAGTCTTTTTAAAGACACAGTAACACTTTGTTCAATTCACTATTACTAGAATTTGAAAAAAGATTTTGAGCCTCCAAATGACAAAACCAGTAAAAATACCCAGGTACATTCAGCATTAGGAACCACTGTTTGCTGGTAGCCATCAGACCACCTAAAAAGGGTCCCATGTCCCCGCAGTGCTTGGGTTTCACTATGCATTGCTGTCAACACGGGCAGTGAGGGGAAAGGTCTTTTTAATTGAGTATCTTTTTTAATTTCCACCTTGAGTGGCTGGAATAACATTAGATGGTGGGAAGAGGGAAATAAAGAATAATTGCATGCGCTCCTTGGGTTTCCAAAAGGAAAGAGCCAGCGTGTGGCATTTTCTGGTCCTGGGCACACAGCTACCTTAACAGAACCAGGCTTTTCAGCTCAATACGTTACTGAATTGAGCAAGAAGGAAAGAGTTCCATGATTTAAGGTCTCCAGCCATAAGGCTCAAGCGGTCAACAGTGTGCCACCGACATCCACTGCAAAGCATTCCAGTACAGTACGAGTTCTGGAATGCCTACCTACAGGGTGACAGGAGGGTGACAAAGCCAGCTCCAGTTTTTGGTAAAGTACTGTTGCCAGGCAAAAATCAAAAGCAAAAAAATACCTTTTCATACATGGAATTTTAATCCCATTTCCAACTGGTTTGCTGCCCCCCCTCTGCCCCCTTTTAATGAAAACCCCCACACCTACCATCATTTCCGCATGCTTTAAGAACAGCCAGCTAAAATCCTGTTGAAAAGTTGAATGTTTCGATATCAATTATTGTCCCTAAAAAACTGCCAAATAACCAATAGTGTCCTACACTCTCAACACAAGCTTAAAGTGAGGTCCATGTTTTACATCATCACATGGAAACTACTGGAATATACAGTGCATGAATGAAATGGGCTTCTGGGAGAACAGAATTAAGCAAAAAAAAATGGATAACAACTGTCTACTGTCGGAAGCAATTTTGAGGTGTTTGACATCAAATATGTTCCAAAGACATTTGAAATGCATTCTCTTATAATTCATACCCTTAGAATGAGGCATTAGCACAAGCTAATCTCAGGCTCATGTATACAGCACCTTTTGCTGTTAATGTATCTCTCCTGTTTCCAAAAAAAAGGCATTTTATGTTACAGAAAACAATACTTATGTGGCAAGTGTTTACTGATACCATGGGGTCTTTCTGACCCAGCGAAGAGTGAACCCAGCATCTGTTCTTATCTTAATGGATGCTGCTTCAGCTTCTCTCACAGTTTCCTTCACAGACTGCATGAGATTCTGGGCGTTATGAACCAACATCTCGGTTGCCTGTCAAGAAAAAGAAAAATTTCAATGTATTAGTAGATACCACATTCAGGTCAGAGGCATGGAAACCCACTGTGCACAAGGACTCCCACTATGAGCACTTTAAGTCAGTTAATGTCTAACTTAAACTATGAAAAAGTAAATGAAACAAGCAGCCCCTGGAAGCCATCAAGTGTTATCCTGAGTCAAAACAAGACCTTCCCGTATCTCACTGTGTATTTGTGCAAAATCTGAATAAAAGCTTAGTGTCTCAAAATATAATAATCTCTCAGATGCCAAAACTGCAGGATTTCAACTGAAAACATGCATGTGGAAGCTAACAGGACTGCAAGGCAAGTACTCACGATGTTGTTGGAGAATAAATACTTTCACTACAATCCACCAGAGGGTACTGCTACTCCTCCGATGTCAAACCTGCTGCATTTGTAGAAG